AGTGTTGTGGAGCACACACAAAACACTGAGGTAAAAACACCTTTAGTGATTTTTAAGGTTCAGAGTAATTTTTCATGTAGATGATATTTGTATTTAAAGTTTCTAGGTGATAAGTCATTTCACAAGCAAATGTATTGAAGGTATAATATGCTTCTTCCAGAGTAGGTGTCCAGTAGATGTCGCACCAAACAAAACAAAGTGCCGTCCCCTCCTGTATGAACACACAGGCCAGAGGGAGCATTCACTGACTAACTGACATGGCTTGCCTGCTTTCAGCTCTCAAATACTGCTGATTAAGTAGTCCTTTTTTTTTTTAACTGTTGTAGCAACCAAATGGGGGCTCAATAAAGTTGATCTTATCTTATCTTATAAAGGGCCAGGAGGTAGGGTAGGTAGTATTTGTGTCACTACCTGGAGTTGGCATCAATAAGCCTGGGTCTGTTGAAGTAGACAACGCTGTTTGGGCTGTAAAGGCCATGTGGTAGGAAGGTAAGATTTAGAAGAAGAATAGCAGGGAGGGGGATGATTCTGGGACGCTGGAGCTCACTATCTGCCCCTTCTGAGGTGTCTGCAGAAGACACACTGGCAATGGGAGGTTTCCCATAATAACCCTGGTCATGTCCTGACTTTTGTGTGCATCATTCTACATAGTGGCGTTGTCGGGCGAGAAGGGGCCATGTGGTAGGGTAGGCAGTATTGGCGATGTCTGTCATGGATCGGTGTTTAAAACAATGGAGATGGACCCAAGTGTAGAATAACCAAAAATATCTATTTAAACAAAAAGGCCAAAGGGCAAACAAAACTTACTTCAAAAATCCAAAAAGGGAAAACAAGGAGCAATAAGGAAACACTGGAAACACTAGAAACTGTGACATTGATGGACAACTACTCTGAACTTACAACAACTAACAAACACACAAGGGGACATTAATACAAAAACACACTAGGGAAACAAGCAACACTAGGATGGACAGGATCAAATTCAAAAAAGTATGACAGAGAGAGATTTCCTCCCTTTCTTTGTTTTTAACAAATTATTCTGCGGAGATAATCCAGTATACTCATCAGAGAGTAAACTATGACATCATGACAACAATAGAAAGTGTTAAACAGACTTAACTGTGAGATAGACACACATAATAGTAATAGATTGAATTTATAAAGCACCTTTAAAGGGACCCAAGAGCGCTTTACTTGGTTTATGAAGTCCATGATTACTATGGACTTCATAAAGCATGCTACACAGCTCCTGGTACAGGCTCTTGTGATATCACGCATCGACTATTGCAACTCTCTACTGGCAAGTCTACCTACATGCTCTATCAAACCCCTGCAGATGATACAAAATGCAGCAGCACGACTGGTCTTCAACCTTCTAAAAGAGCACATGTCACTCCGCTGTTCATCTCCTGACACTGGCTCCCAGTTACAGCTCGCATCAGATTTAAAACTCTGCTGCTCGCTTACAAAACAGACACAGAAACCTCTCCTCCTTACTTTAACTCTCTCATCCAGGTCTACACTCCCTCCCGCCCACTACGCTCTGCCAATGAAAGGCGTCTGATCCAACCTTCACAACAGGGTCCTAAGTCTCTGACTAGACTCTTCTTCTCTGTCTCCCCCCGGTGGTAGAATGAACTTCCACACTTCATTTGATCTGCAGAGTCCCTCTGTACCTTTAAGAAAAAGCTAAAGACCCAGCTCTTTCATGAATACCTACTAACTTAATGATGATGGTCTCCATATTATTGATGATGATGATGATGGTTGTGACGATTGTTTTTGTTTGATAACGACGACTTATAAGATGGTTTCTATACTGATTAGAGCTCTCAAGAACTGCCGTCAATGTTGTGCTTTGCCTCTGGTCACTTCCTGTCAGCACCTGTGTGTCCAATCAGACTCAAAGCTGATCGTTTGTTCTTACTGACATTGTTCCCTTTTTTCTAGATCCTTGCTTGTGTTGTTCTTACTCTCTGATGTACGTCTCTTTGGATAAAAGAGTCTGCTAAGTGAATTGTAGAATTGTAAGTGCAGTGCTTTCTCAGGCTATTGCTTTGGAGAAAAAAAACAGTTCCTGTTATACTTCACTGAAGTATCAACTTAAAAGCTGCACATTCATGTCCCTGCCTCTAACGGTTGCAAGTGTTGCTATCAATCCCAGTGTCTCAGTGTGTCTGATAGAAACTTTAATAGCTACCAGCATGAGACACTGATCAGCCAAGCACATCAGCATAGTGAGATCCAATGTGTCACCACCACGCAGAGAGCGAGGGTGTGTTTGTGTCTGTATATGTGTGTGTGTCTGAAAGGAAAGCTAGCTGCATGTGTGTCTCGTTAGCGCTGGGTGTAACAGCAGAAGTGATGGCAGTAATGTGGGAATGACAAAGGAGCTCTTACTGTGAGCTATATGAAGACATGTGAGATCAGCAACAGTGCTGCTACATGTCACATCCCCTGGTCTGTGTCTGTGTGTGTGTGTGTGTGTGTGTGTGTGTGTGTGTGTGTGTGTGTGTGTGTGTGTGTGTGTGTGTGTGTGTGTGTGTGTCTGACTGGATGTATGTGCACATTTTCACACTCAGGTACTATGCACAGTCTCAAGGTTTGAATGTGTGAGCTACTGTTTCTTTCACAGTGAAATAAAAAGTTAGTCCCCAAAATAAGTTAAATGTTTCTATTGATCCACTTACTGGAAACAAATGTTTCTATTAATCAATAAATAGCATGTACATATAAAATAAGTACTGATCGCTACTAAAACTGACAATCTTTGAATTTGTGATTGTCTAGCAGTTGCAACATTTTGATGAAATCATTGCAAGCTATCAGTTTTAAAGAGCAAAATTATTCTTTGCATTGACAATTTTCTAAAATGTCCCATTTTGACCTTCTAAGTTAGTTTTCTCAGTGTGCCAATCCATCAAATACTTTCATCAAGTTTGAACTGTGATTGTTTTTCTAATTTCTTGCTCCACTCTCTCTAATTTTTTTTACAACTCAAGGGATGACCAGGGATGGGTGGAAGTTAATGCTCCCTAGGGAAGACATGAAATATATTTGGTTTTCCTTGACCTTTCCTTGAGTGTCATTATAGAAGAAGATATACTTTATTAAACCCGCAAGGGGAAATTCAATTTCACACTCTGTTTCAAATGCCATACACACACGTGTACAAACAAGCTCCTCTGGACATGCACTAATGGAGAGATGGGGGGTTTGGTGCCTTGTTCAAAGGCACCTCAGCAGTGCTCAGGAAGGGAACTGGCACCTCTCCAGCTACCAGACCAATTTCAAGACTTCGTATGATTATACTAATTCATTCCTGTCCAGAAATCACTCAGAGCCATCAGCAAAAATATTAATTTCTCTGGTTCTTCTAGTTATAGGTTTGTATGACATAAACAGGTTTGTCTTATTGTATACAACATTTCTGCCAACTTACAAATAAATTATTCTCACTTACAACAAGACAATACAAAGATGCAGTATTAATGAACCATAAATAATGCAACAAAAAACAAGTTCATATTAATTTTAAACAACACAAGGCTTTTGTTTCAACTAAAAAAAGAGTTCAGAAATCCATCTTTTAAAGATGTTTTATTTGTGGGTGTGCTGTGCCTTTATTGGAGAGACAGGACAGTGGATAGAGTCAGAAATCAGGGAGAGAGAGAGTGGGGAATGACATGCGGGAAAGGAGCCACAGGTCAGATTTGAACCTGGGCCACCCGCTTGCAGGACTACAGCCTCCGTACATGGGCCGAGCGCACTAACCACTGCGACACCAGCACCTCCAGAAATCCATCTTTTGTTTTTTTAACACTGATTTTTAATCGTCTTGGCATTCTCTCTAGAGGTATTTCAGTCTGCTGTTGGGTGATGTTATGCCACTTCAAGCAGCTCAGCTTTGATTGGTGGCTCATCAGGTGATCGGTGCCCCATTGAGCAGAGTGCGGTGTGGGGTTTGGAGTGGGCCTTTCATTTTTTTCGGGGCTGTACTTACTTAAGACCGAATACCTTAACTTCTTTCAGATTTGCTAAATTCTATTTATAATTTGTAAGCGTGCTAACACACTGAACGAGATTGGTAAATATTGTGTCACATACACAGCAATGTGCATTCTGCAGCATCACAAAGCCACTAATACATATATGCATTTGTAAAAACGTTTTTAGAGGTTTGCATGATCAGGACAATCAACTTAGGTCTTTGAAATTCTATTTTTTTTACACTGTTACTTTGTTTTGGATTCTACGGCTGGTCTGTACAATTCTCTTTCATCCTGGTATCATTTCATCTGGTCATCCTAAACCCAATTCTATCAATGTATACTTCACTTGTTCAAGTTTCTGCCATATTTAAACATATTTTAGTTTGATGTACACTACAAAACATTATACTGGAAATTAATGGACGGAACTGTTCTCTCATATTTAATATAAATGTATGTCGTATTACATTTTAGCAGGTTGAACTTAATGTCCAGATTCATTTTGAAACCACTTCAAGAGAGAAGTTCTTCTCTTTAAAACATGTCGGCAAAGCAGACTTCTGCTGAGGACAGTCATTCGAGAAGTTATGCAGTACTCTGTATATCGTTTCTGACTGATCTGTGATGGGTGAAAGCATACAAAGCAGACGCTTATTTTCAACACTAGAGGGCGCTGGTGACTTTCAATACAGTCTGAAGCCGTATCAGTATCACATACTGATACTTTAGAACGGAGCATTAACACTGACAAAGAAGCATGTGTTAAGATTAATGAAAAGCACACATCATTTGGTGTGTCCTCATTCAGTGCTCTCATTTTGTCTGCACACATTCAAAGGCCTCGAACTTCAGCACCAAAACCAACCACAACATAAGTTCTGCAAACAGTAAAAAAAATCATCTAACTCTTAAACTTCCTCTTCAACACCCAAAGCAGAGCATCTCACATCCTGCAAATACATTTCACAAAACCAAGTTTAATAAAAGATTAAAATAGGAAGTGAAAAGTTGGTGTCAATAACCCTTTATTAAAACCAAAGAGCAGATAAAAACATTAAGGCAAGACGAGCAGTGAGCATCGAGCTGCAAAATGTAACGTCAAAATGTAACTATACAAGGCTTGATCCATTCATAAAAAAACAGAAAATTACAAAGCCAGAGGACACAGAACACAAAGTGATAAAGAGCATGTGTGTGTTTGTGTGTGACTGCATTCAACGTGTGTGTGTATGTGTGTGTGCATGCTAGTGAGATGTTTGATTGAATCCGTATACTATGTGTTATCATGAGTGCCTTTTGAGATAATAACAAAAGTAAAACAATAAAGTGCAGTTATTACCAACCTGTGGTTGAAATGATTAACAGCCTAAAAATAAAGAACGCTTCAAGCAGCCAGCCTCTTTTACAGAGTCAGAAACAGACGACTAAAGTGCATGTGTAGAGACTGAAACAAGACCCAGATGATGGAGACATTGAAAGCAAATTAATGACAGTTATATTAAATATTATTAAAATTACTTTAAGGCTCTCTTCCTCTTTTTCACATCAGCTGACAAATTGTTATAAAAAAAATTCTAGGATTTTTTAACACATGAATATATCTTTTTTTTTAATGTGTGACGGGTTTTAGGGTTTGTAACAAATTTCTGTTTAGTTTGTATTTAAAATGACAGAAAAGCAGAAATGACCAAACTCCCTTTCACTTTTAAACTGGAGTATTATGGATGTGAAAGGTCAACCAACTGAAGTGATAAGGAGGGGAATCTGTTTTCTGTTTGCTATTCTGGACTGAAGTCAAGCTGAATTTCTTGTGATGCAGAATGTGACAAGAAAGCAGGACTTAAGGGTGATTACCAGCTAAGTTTCCCTGCCGTGAGGTTTCCAGTGAGGAGGTGAAAAACAATTCATAAAACATGTTTTACTCCATTTTTGGCCTTAAGGGCAGCCAAAAGCATCCCCCAAGAAACAACACTTTAGCTGAAAAGATTTCTGTCTGCAGGCATGAGTAGAAAACGGAGAAACTACAGAAGCCAAGAAGGTTCTCCCCCTTGTGTCTGTGCCACTCTGTTAACTAAGGAAAGAGACTCGAGTCATGCCAGACTCTCTCTGTGTTTAACCTTTTTTTATGTCATCTTTTGAAATGTTCTTGTTTACTTTCTTGCTGATGAAGGATCAGAAGATTGACCAGCTTAAGTCTGCATGCCTAATGGAAAGCTGAAGCTCACAGTGAAGACAGAAAAACAGAGAAAGAAAGCATGGCTGGCTGTGTTTGAAGGTAAATATCTATCGTACATCAAGAAAATTAAGGGTTAAATTCAGGCTGTAAAGGTGTAGTTTTGCATTTCTTGTTGTTTTCAGTCTCTATGCTAAGATTTACTAACTGACCTTGTGTTTTTCATCCTGACATTCAGAGTGGTATAGATCTTTGCAAACATTTCTGAAAAATCCTGTAAGTATAAACATGTTCACTGTGCTCATATCTGCCACTTCCATTCAGATCACTAACAAGCTCAGCTGTGTGTCATCTCTGTCTGTTAAGAAATATGGAAATCTGACGGCAGACATCCTTTTATTGTAAGTGGATATCGTCCGACTAAAGATGTCACAAAGTGAAAAAATAAATCTGGCTGTCGATCTTAAGCATAAGCATGAAAGTGCAAAAAGATGAAATGCTTCTTTACGTCAAATGAGAGAAAGTCATTAAAATGGCTTCAAGATGAAAACGATATTTCTGGCTCATTTTAAGCTTTAGATATGTTCATTTAGGAGCTTTGAATTGATAGAGGTTTATCATGAAGCTATAAAAAAAGTAGACTTTTTCAAACTCATCTCTGATGAAAAACATCAATGAGGATTGTCTGTGTGTGTGAGCTCCACGAATCCCAACAGATCCAAAGTGAGCCACAGGAATTCACATAGGTTTGTATGTATGCACTAACAATGTATTGAAGACGATGCTGAGAGTGGTTTAAAGTAAAGCCATAATAAATATTATATAGAAGACAGAGTATTTATTTTTACCTCTTCTTGTTAACATGGTTTTCTCGCGTGTGTGTGCGCGTGTGTGCGTGTGCGTGTGCGTGTGTGTGTGTGTGTGTAAGAAGCTGCCTGAAACAAGCAGCGTGGTGTCACTCCTGGAGAGCCCAACCTCCAGAAACCTCCTACACCTACACACCACAATGCCTCCACACGTCATTGGTCAACAGGACTAAAAGCTGATTGGCTGTCACAGCAGAGTGTTAATGGTTTTGCCTCCTACGTTCAAAGCTTGTTAAAGTACAGACTAAAGCAAGCAAAGAAATCAATTGGAATGTCTTTGATTTTTTTTTCTTTTTGCAAAAAAGCAAGAAGCATAGAGACATAGGTACAGTGTGTGTGTGTGTGTGTGTGTGTGTGTGTGTGTTTCTCCTCATCTCTATTCTACGTTTGCAGCTGAAAGCCCCTTTGCCCCTCCATCCATTTGTGTGTTTATCTGTCGGTCTTCTTGGCCCATGCCAGGTCATCTGAACGCGGTCTCTGCCCTGTTAGTCGTTGGATCAATTGCTCCATCCGTCTCCAAAAGCCCACCTGGTCCAGTGGATAGTTACACCAGCCTTTGGATGTGGAGAACAAGAAGAGGAGACACATTGTTAGGCAGTACAAAGAGAATGAGGAATGTAAAATGAGGAGAGGAAGAAAAAAAGTAAGACAATGATAAAAAAAAAAGGATGCAGAGTTGAGGAGTGAAGGTTTGTTAGCTTCTAGAATTAAGATGAGCCCAAAATAAATGTGTGTAGAAAGAGAAGGACTGCACGGCCATATTTAACATGTTTAAGTATTTCAGTATACCCTGTGATGTCAGGTGGAAGCAGCCGCTGTATGAATAAAGTGAATTTACAAGTTACTGCAATAAATTAATACAAGGAAAAGCCAATAACATTCTGCAGCTGAGAATGATTGTCTGTGTGTCAATGTTCAAACATTAGCTTAGGAAAGAGAGAAGAGAAGACATGACAATGACGCACAAGTAAAAAAAAGTTTTGGGGTATCTCGTCCTTTGAAGGATCTTTGAGAATTACCTTCTTCTTTTTTGATCTTTTTGCAGGTTAAGTGGCTGCCAAATTTGCACAACTGTACTGTGACTTTGCACCTAAGTCTATGTTTGAGGCTGTGTGTGGGCACAGTGATGCTTCACAGTGATACTGACATCAGCATGTAAACGTCTTGATATTTGGCAGATAAAGTTCACAGTGTTTCCAACTTTAGGAAAAGTTAACAAGCTACCATTTTTGAATTTGCAACAGAAAGGCTGAGGCTGACAGTAAAGTGGCTTCGTTGCTGACAAAAGTCATTTGACAAACTGAAATATTGACCTGGTGAAATTACTGAAGGATTAGGGACAGTGACATTTTTTTGTTTAAGCGCAGACATTTATTTTCTCAGAATTTACTCACTTTAAAATCAGAGTTCTGACATTGAAGTGAGCCAAAAGTCAGCCAATCCCAAGGTCCTGGCCTCATCCCCCAGAAGGTCGCTGAAGGTACTGCAGGTGGCAGCAAGAGCTCATTTACCATAAAGATATATCTAATCATGCAGTAGCTTAAAATTGGGAAGTGTGCAGGGATTTTCTTTTTTCTTTGCACTGAATTGCCATAGGCTGCTTTCACTTTGGGAAATACACATTTGTATTTAACACTAATCAAAGACGTATGGTTAAAGGTTGGGTGTGCCCTGGCATTTCTTTTTATTTCTCATCTTGAGTCTGTGAATGGCTGCTTAAAAAGAAAGCTGATTTCAGAGGAAGACAAGACATAAGTTCAGGAAAACTCAGGGTTTACAAACTTCATAAGGTCATGCTCAGTGCTAACATGTGTCCACTATACTGAGTTGCATTAGCGGAGTTTCAGAGAAACACTCAAAATGATCCCTGAAGTGTATACTCAATATAACTAAAGCTAGAGTTTAAGATTAAGATTACGTGTTAATAAAATATTTATTCTTCACTCCTCTGTCAGTTCAGGGTATCTCAGGAAAAACGACCCTGATTTAACTTCCCCATCAGCATATTGAGTGTCATGTTTGATCTGTATTGCTTGTGTTTATGATATGAAGAAAATAAAAATCTTCCAAACAGAAAGTAAAGGTGCATGTCTTGTTCACAGTCATAAAAATGGTTGCACACCGTGGAGCCTCTCCTGCAGGGCTGCTGACTGTGCTGTCTGTCAAACACTCAGTCACACTGGACCGCAGCTATGCAATGATCTGACTTTGACACCGGCGTATATACTTAAGTGTTTCAGACAGATCAGTCCATAGCCTTGGACCCCTAACGGGCGTCTTGCTCCTGACATTAGTCTTATCCTCAACCCCACCCTGTTCTCCAGCAGCACCCACAGGGCAAACACTGACCTGTGTTAATCCATTTGTAACCTTCCTTTCTCAAATTCTACACACCCTCTTCTTCTGCAAACAAAGTCAACTCCTTCCTCAAGTGTGTTGTTTCCTTTTAATCTCTTGGCTTCACCTCAGATTTCACTCCTCTGTTCTTAATGTCATCTTTTTTTTTACTGCTTTATTCCCATCTGACCCTGATCCTCTATTCTCCCAGCAAAATCTAACCTCTCGTCTAACACTCGTTATCATTTACAGATTAAATTCCAGGGAGGTAGAGCAATGAGGGGGTCTTCTCAGCCCCTACCAACCCAAGAAACACACACACACTACACTCACATGCATACACACATATCCTCAGCCTCTCTTCTTTATGCTTCATAAAACTCTTATACCTCTGCATCTACTGTATGTCAAAGGTAAATACATGAATGTATGTATGGCTGCAGGCCAAGGAACATTTACATGTTCAAATGCATACATGCATGAAGCTACCATCGTCTCTGTGCTCACACACTGCTCTGAGGTAAACATACATCTGCTGTGCAGATTACACACTAACGCACGCACGCACAAACTCAAACACAATGTGTACATCTGTTTGTAGAGTAAAGCGTTTGCCAAATTGAAGTTTTACTTTTGAAGCCCACAAAGTCAATCAGAACTTTAACATGGACAGTTAAGTCAAGCTACCATTACAGGTCATTTAGGAGATTCAGCTTCACTACTGTCCTAAAGTTCAGACTGACACACCTGTTTACAGCTGCCTTTAATTAAACAGCAACTCTGCACTGTAATTATTATTATATTTTTTGAACTCTTAATTTATTTTATTTTCTTTATTTATTTTTACATCAATTAATTTCATTTGAATTATTTTTATTTGAACATATTTTCAGATTGAATAATTTCAGTGATTTCTAAATGTTCTATTTTAATGTTTCTTTTCTTTCCTCTGTCATGATGCTTTCGTCTTGTGTGAAGCACTTTGAATTGCCTTGTTGTTGAAATGTGCCATAGAAATAAACTTGCCTTGCCTAGTCCCAGTACAATCGTCCTAGTCCCAGTACAATCGTCCTAGTCCCAGTACAATCGTCCTAGTCCCAGTATAATCGTCCTAGTCCCAGTACAATCGTCCTAGTCCCAGTACAATCGTCCTAGTCCCAGTATAATCGTCCTAGTCCCAGAATACGAGCATCACAGAAGAATCAATTATCAATTATAATGGCATTATGTCTGATTCCTCTTTGGTAGATGGCTACTTTCTATTGGACCTTTTTCAGTTGATCTTCAATCAATTGACGAAGATGTTAACAAGCGTCAAGCTAATTATCTTTTCAAATGTCTACTTCAATATGATTAGCTCCTGTGGCTCAGTGGTAGAGTCAGTCGTCTCTCAACCGGAGGGTCCAGGGTTCGATCTCCTTCTCCTGCAGCCACACGTTGCTCCTGCTGCTCGTCGATAGCAAATGAATGTGTATGAATGGATGAGTTAAAACTGACAGACACTTTACACAGAAGAGTCTGTCATCAGTGTGTGAATGTGTAGGTGTGACCTGCAGTGTAAAAGAGCTTTGAGTAGTCAGAAGACTAGAAAAGTGCTATCAAAGCTCAAGTCCATTTACCATTTAACTGAGTTAACACACTCTGCTCTGCACATGTAGCACAGGTCTGGTGAAGTAATGTAGTGTGTTTATGTAATGTGGCTCAGGTAATCAGACCACAGTGAGGTTAAATAGAGCACAGTTAGCTCTGTTGTCTTCAAGCTTCATGTGACACCATTTTCTCCTCTCTGCTCCGAGGTGTACGTACACACACACACACACACACACACACACACACACACACACACACACACACACACACACACACACACACACACACACACACACACACACACACACACACACACACACACACACACACACACACACACACACACAGACATTCAAATGGGCTGAGTGTACTTAGGCAACCCTTATCTGATGCTCACACACAACCACCCCATGATGTGTTTGCATGGAATGAATACTGTGTGTGTGTGTGTGTGTGTGTGTGTGCGTGCGTGCGTGCGTGCGTGCATGTGTGTGTGTGCATGTTCGCCTGTGTGTGTGTGTGTGTGCGTGCGTGTGTCCCTCCAGTGACCCTCGCTCTGCTGGAAGATAGTAAAGCAGCCAGAGGTTCTGTTTGATTCTTTCTCTCCATCTCTCCTTGTTCTCCTTCTCTTACCACACACTCCTCCTTTCTTTTTTAACTCTAAATCCCCGCTTCCTTCCCATCCTCTCCTTTCCTCACCCTCCCGCTCCCCCTCCCCCCCCCCCCCATGTCCTCCATCCCCCTCTGCCTGTGAAGTCCTATTTGTTAGAACAGACAGCAGGTTAGCATTAAATATACATGGGGATTGTCAGCCGGTGGCGAACACAAAGGCAGCTAGGCGGGCCCCAGTGGAATCCAGGCCCGGCTCAGGCAGGCAGGCTAGGGGGAGCGTGGGGGCCGTCGCCGTCCCCTGTGGGTCCCCCGTCCACCACCAACCCACCTCCCAACACAAACACACACACACACACAGGTTAGAGACCGAGGGGAGGTCAAAAAGACGAGCACACACACAGATGCTCGAGTATGCAGATGTAAGCGGGTGTGCGCGTGAACAAACACACTTTCCTGATGCCAACCCCCCTCAACTTACTCACACACATCTGTCGTCCGCAGGGGCGCAGGGTGACGTACAAACTCAATCCCCCTTGTGTATCCTCCCGCTTCCCTCTCCCTCCCTCCCTCCCTCTCACCCAGATGCATGCAGAATACTGAATGTGTCTCTAAAGACACACATGCACAAAAACAGAACATTGTCTTTTAGTTATTTATAAGAAACCGACAGACAGACAGACAGACACTGCCACCATTTTGTCCCAATCTACTGAGAATTGTAACAGGAAATTATTCTGGAGTCATCAGCTGCAATTATGGCGATCTAAAATGGCCGCCCACAAAATACACAACGATAGCGTCCGGGAGTCACATCATCTTTCTGTGTTTTCACACTTTGATGGTTTACAATATGAGGGCAGGAATATTGTTTTAGTTCTGGTATGATTTATTTTGATCTCCTAAGCTTGGCTCCGCCCCTCTGATGCAGCTGATATCATCCAGACGAAAACAATGTTATTAAAGTATGTTTTAACTTAACGAGATAGCTACTCTGACATAGGAAGAGTAACAAGGAGACCAAAAGACCAAACTGCAGAACATCAAATGCCATCTGAACTTGAGATGTGGAGTTTTCTAAGCCAGGAGTTCCCAACAGGTTCCATGCCAAGGCTCCCGTTATAGTCTGGAGGGGACCCCACTCTTCAAAATGTCTTAAACATCTTCTACATATCAAAATGTAAATATAAAGCTTCTTAATATTGTACATCTCCTCACAGTTGTATTTTTAATCAGTCTATTTTTTTCTATCTTACAATAATCAAAATTAAAAGTAACAGTAAACATGTTGTTTGTATAATTTATCTTGTGTTATTCATTCAACCTCTTTATTCTGTTATGAACAGTCTACAATTCCTTCATAACAAAATGTAACAGTTAATTTGATTTTTTCTACAACAATACTGTAAAACACCTCTTTGTTATGGTGGGGGGGATCTACTCTGAGACTACAAACATTTGACAGCCTCTTACTATGGGACCCCCTGGAAAACTAACCCTGACCATCAAGCGGTTATCTTTCCAATAAAACATTTCAATTATTTGACGCGTTAATGTTTCTTTGGATACATAATTTACCTGCATCTTAAATTGCAGACTCTTTTGAAAATGCCCTACCTCCATACAGACTCTGCTGAACCTTTCAAAAATAAATGCTGCTGAGCTGTTGTACTCTGTAATTTGTACAGCAAGTTTTAATTTTAACTTTGAATTGTTTCTTATTCCTGCATTATAAGATATTATTGTTATTAAAATGTTACTACTGCTACTCATACTGTGAATGTCCCTCGTGATCAATAAAGTGTCCACCATCCATCCATCTTCAAAACTGTTGAATCAATCACTGAGGACCATAGCAGGTTTCATCTTGTCGGCTTAAATAGTTTAAGAAGGGTGAGTTCACATTCTACCCCTTCTCTAGGGTTAGGGTTAGGGTTTTTCAACAAACAGAACAAACACATACTTACACACTCATTTGCATGAATGCACACACACACACACAAGGATGTACTGACCATGGTAACCATGCAAAAACATCATTAACTGGTGGTGGTCATACAGGCTCTCACCTGTAGTGATGCAGTAGTATGTCTCATGTGGCGAGACATGGTGGATGCGATGATGTTTCCGTGGCAACACCAGATGCCAGTCCTGAAGCAGCATGACCCAGCACGGCAGGCCGAAGTAGGAGTGGCTCCACTTGTGAATCTGATTGGTCAATGTCACAAAAACGGCCAGGGCGAAGACGTAGCAGTCCCAGGGATAGGACGCCACCAAGGCCTCTGAGGGGTGACAGGAGAGAGACGTGTACACAGAGTGAGAAAGAAAGGAGAGAGTAAAGTTAATAGAATTATTGATCAAACTGTTAAATGTAATGAAGAGAGGCCAGCATGAAGGCGTAGCACTCCCACAGAGAGGATGCTGGCAGGAGCCTCGGAGAGATGAAGAGACCGAGGGTGGAGGAAGAGGAACAGGGGGGGAAAAGAAGAGAAGACAGAGAGAGGCGAGGAAGAGTGGCAGCAGCGGAAGACAAAGACAGACAAGTGGGAAGTCGAGGAGAGAGGGTAAAAATAATCTCAATGTAAAAACAACAACGACAGAAACTGTTTGCCAATAACAGAGAGGCCAAGCGGAGTGCGAGTCATCTGACATCAGTGTTCAGGACTTTAGTCACATTGTTCACACTGTTCATCACAGTGCTGACACCCCGACACCACGGGCATCAAGAGAGACATTTAAGTGAGTCAGTCAGGAGTGAGACGCTCCTCACCTGTGTGCCATCTTACAAGAAAATCAGTCTCGACGCATTCTGTCTGTTGTTTATTGACCAAGAGAAAGTCAGACTGAGGTTCAAAGCTACTGTGAGTCATCATCTGAGCCTCCTTCTAATATTTAAAGGACTCCTGCTTCCTGAATCTCCATGAGAGCTGCACAGCAGTCCTACAGAGACACTCAGGGACAGGACACAATGTGTGTCTTGTTTTTTTGTTTTTTAATGTGATATTTAGATGAAGGTGGAGTTGGAGGCTGGGGAAATGGGAGGTGAGTTTACTGGCTCAGTGAGAATGTCACACTAAAACAGCATTCTTATGAGTGCATCTTTCTTTACTGGGATGTATTGTCTTTGGAGCCCAGCACGTCACACAATAAGAGGTTATCAGAAGCTAGAAAACAGCAGAATGAAAGATAGATTAGTAGGTGAAAAGAGAGAGAGGGGCAAAGGTATTTTTGGGGCCTTTTTGCCTTATTAGATAGGATTGCTGACAAGAGACAGGAAGTGTTGGGAGGAGAGAGTGGGGGTCGACACGCAGCAGAGGTCAGATTTGAACCTGTGGTCACTGCTGTGAGGACTATAGCTTCTGTACAAAGGGCGCGCGACATAACCACTAGGCTATCCGGCGGCCACTAGAGAGGGAAAAATCTTGAAATAATCTGTTTCTAAAAATGATTTGGGTTGAGAGTGAGTGACCTTTAAAGACCTCAGAGTTTAACATGGAATAAAGACAATGAGATTTGTTTTTTCTCCTTTATTTATGTTTTAAATTCTGTAAAATAATGAAATGAGATTTAACTTAAGGGACCTGGCAGCTCAGTTGCTTACAGTTATTGAAAGTCGACTCACAAGGTCCAAACTGTCGGCCCAGACTTACACAACTTTACACACACTCTCAGCCTCAACACTACACAGGGTTTTGACTGAACACACTACTCTACATAAAGACAGATCATTCAAAAGTGAAAGCTTGTGCTGAACACCATCACTGAAACACTCAATCAACAACCAGCTGCACTCAGAATGCACATGTGAAGACACCTGTAACCAATCAGAAATGAGAGCTTGAACACCATCATTAGGAGTTTAGTTTGGCTTTTTGGTGTGCACAACAATGGAGGACAGATTGTGGAGAAAAGGTTAGAGGAAGAGGAGGATGAGTAGGAGGAGGAGGCATAGGAGAAGGAGGAAGAGGGGAAGAAGCAAGAGGAGAAAGATGAGAGACAGGATGGACAGTGATTTGAATACTGTGTACTTTGTTTTATTTACAATATGTTCATGTCATCTAAGTTCTGTATTGAGAGAAAAAAAAAACTTTTTATTGTAGAGATAGAACAGTGGATAGCGTTGGAAACAGGGAGAGAGAGAGAGTAGGGAATGAACTGTGGGACCTTTCCCACAGGTCGGATTTGAACCCTGCCTGGACCACAGCCTCTGTACATTGGGTGCGAGCACGAACCACTACACTAGAGGCGCCCCATTGTCTTCTGCTTACCATAAATAAATCATTAGAAAACCACAATAGTTTTGAATATAGTTCCTGCTTTTACCAAGACTTTGACTGAACACAATGGAAACCCACAATCCCTTTTGGAGTAACAGACAGCTTCTTATACACCTGAGCATTTTATGATCTTAATCCAGTCAGGTTTCTACATGAAGAAATAGACTTTAATCCAAAATGAAGGACAAGATGGTGTCAGACAAAAGGTCAGTTTTATTGTTCAATTCTTCAAACATTCACATGCATGAACACAGTGTTTAACACGGCTGTCTACTCTTATGAAGTCTTTCTCTCCATATGACTTACAGCTGTCCTCTCTTTGTCTACCTCCACACTCTTCCCCTCTCTTTAGTTTTAACAGTGATCCTATGACCCCTGTTCAAGTGCAGACATGACAGCAGGAGATGTCACCTCACAGCTTTCAGCTCCCCCCCTTTACCTCTGTCTCTGTCTCTGTCTGGTGACTGCTTGACACCATGTGGAGCTTGACATGACAGGTTTAGATGTCATCTTACCGCTACATGACCCTCTGCCACCGCCAACCCCCCCCACGCTCTCTCACTCCGTCTCTCCTCTTTGCACTCTCACCCTCTGTCTCAAACTCTTAGCGGTGACCACTTATTGTGCAGACATGACAGGTGTAGATGTCACTGCGTCTCTCCCCGTCTCTGTCTGGTGACCTCTTGACTCCCTGCGGTATGTGACATGACAGGTGTGGATGTCACCTACGAGAGAAACCTCACTACCGCTCTCTCCCCCTCTAATCTTCCCTCACTCACCCCCCATTAGCTGCTCCCTGCTGCGGACAATCAGCTGACCTTTGCAAGTTTCCCCCTTTGCTCCTTCAATACTTAATATATAAAAAACTCCTCACAGGATTTTCATTGGTTTCAGAGTTTTTTTGGGGGCTTTTTATGCCTTTTTGTGGAGAGAGACATGGGGAGAGAGAGGAAAAGGGGGATGCTCCAGGACTGGGAGAAGAACCTGTGACCATGTGCGACAAAGACTGTAGCCTCTCTGTACACAAGGCTCCTGCTCTACCAACTTTCAAAACCAGCACTCCAGGTTCTCTTATTTATAGACCTGACTTGTGTAGTAAAGGGGACATAGCTGTCATCACTATGCTGTGTTCATGACAAAAAAGTTTAAAGAATTGTTTTGCAGCCATGTCAGTGACTCTGTGAGGCTGCAGATTTGAAGCAAGAATAATAAAATGCCTACGATAAGTACTGCTGTTAAAATTGCTAACTTTAGCTAATAACATAATTTTTACAGGTCTGACTAAAATAAAATCAATCAGACAGCTGCAGCTCATCCAGGATGCTTCCACAGATCTCACCAACACCAAGATAAGAAGAGCACATCTCTCCTCACATCTCAACGCTGGCTTCCTGTGGGTCAATGGACAGATTGTAAAATTCTACTCTTCTTGTGTAAAGAACTAAATGGTCTTGGTACGAAGTTCCTATCAGACCTCTTAGTCTGTTATGAGACCTCTCAGGTCCTACACGTGTACAGTAAGTGTTTGGTACCACTTCAGGGACGGTAAGGTTCACTAGTGAAGCGTAACGGCCAAACTTACCAAAATATTGTCCCAGAAATGGCAATTTAATGTGACCAATCAGTGAACAGCATTTTTCATAGTTCATTGTTTTCACAGTGTCCCCTCTTGTGTCTAATTGTGTCCTTTAACTGCAGCTAATCCACAAACAGCAACAGAAATGTGTAAAGAATATGAAAAAACACTATGACAAGGTAATAACAGCAGCAACAACCGTACGGCCAGCGTCAAATAACAAACTGTGATATTGAGTGATGTCTGATATTGACTTATAGTTATATTTTTATAGTTTTGATTTGCCATTGGTTTCTTTCCTCTGTTTGTGGATCATCTTGGTATGATGTATTTAAATTGATTCCTCATTTTGTGCATGTTGAATGTTTAGTCGACATCTGCTGTCCCATCACAGTGTTTATTTTGACGTTATGTGTTTCACTTGAATGCACTTGTTTTGATGATGTCTTCCTGGTTAGGACTGTGAGCGGCTGTCGCTCAGTTGAGTCATTATCTCTCTACCGGAAGGTCGAGGGTTCAATCCCCAGCTCCTGTAGTCACATGTCCAATGTGTCTTTGAGTAGTCAGAAGACAAGAATAGTGCTGTACAAGCTCAAGTCATGTTACCATTTCTCCTTTGTATTTTTACTTGTATTTGATGGGTTTATTATGTGATGCCTCTAAAGCCTAGGGAAAATGCTGCATGCCTTCACCAGAGCAAACCTGTGGTGACTACAGCAACAATGACTCTCTCTGTCTCAGTGCACCCTGAAGAAGATGAAAGCCGATACGCGTGTATTTTATGTTTCTAGCATAGTCAATTAAAAGCCATCTATATTTTTCTAACCATCCTGAGTGCCTGCACCTGGATTATTAATGCAGTTTGTTTTGGTCTTAAATTTTCTTCTTTTTTTATATCTTTAAACATTCCCTTAAGTTCTTCATTCCACTATAATATTAATTGAATTGCTCTTTAATCGAACTGTATTTTAATATAGTTTGTATTCTAATGTCTGTGTTTTTTAATGTTTTAATGTCCTTTAAATTCAATCACTATTTATTTATGCATATTTCCTCCTCATGCCATAACTCGTTCTTTTAGATATTATAATGCCTTAGTTTTGTCATACCTCCTTTAATACTCTAAATATTCCAAATGTTCAGTTTTTCATTGTGTAAAGCACTATGAAGCGCTCTCTGTGTTAACAGTGGTTTATATAAAAATCTTGCGCTTCTTAAACACTAAATATAGTTTATTTATTAGTCCAAGTCCAAATCTGAAAGCACTGGGGAAATGTAATGGATTCTTTATTGAAACTATTAAAACACACTGCTTATAAAAAAAGTGAACAGACAAGAGAGAGAAAGAGGCGTTATTATGCAAGCCCATGAGCAGAGACACGAGGCGCAGGTGTGTGCATGAGGATAAAAGGGAAAGCATGGTGAACTGATTGAAGTCTTTTATAAATAAACACAAAGAAAGGTGAGGTGGAAAGAGAATCATCCAGACAGAGAGTTGGTTTAATCAGGGCAGCAGATAAGACACATCATCAGTACTTGTGAGAGTGTAAAACTGCAGCTAAGCTAGCCCTCAACATGGCTCACTGATATCGACACCCCCGACCTCCCCCCCTATTTACCCGTCACTGACCTTCCAGCTAAAGTTGAAGTGTAGACATGACAGGTGGAGATGCCACCGCCTTAATAACAGGTTGCTCTGTTTCCCCTGCTGATCTCCCTCCTCCCGTCCCTCCCCTCCCTGCCCTGCATTTGTTAGGTCAGCGCACATGATTACCAGCAACACTGCCCCGTGCCCTCCCATCATCAGTGGACACTCCTCAGCCAGAGTCAATGCTACCTTTGGCAACTTGGATCACTGAGTCACTGCAGCAGTTTGGACAACTCTGTGAAGCTGACCTTCCAAGTCCTGACATTCTCATTTCATCTAAATCTGATTATTAGCATGTTGGCTGTGGTACTGGTTTGGAAGCCGGTGAGGGATCACATGTGTGAAGCAGCACTTGTGATTTACCGCCCCTTTCTCAGAGCATCGGTGCAGATGACGAAGAATCTACAGCGAGAGCTTAAACCTCTGCAGGTGTTGCACCCCATAGTCTCTCACTCACAGGTGTGAGGGAGAAGATTTTTCACGCAGAATACAAAACACCAGAGCTTCAGCATCCTCATTTACACAGTCACAGGAACAGATTGCACTCCTCTCCCTCTTCTCTGTTTGTACCTCACCTTGCTGCCATGTGTGAATTCCCTTCCTTGGGAAGCCGGCTGAGGAAAATTTAATTTAGTGAGTGTGCTCACCTGGTGTGCATGTGAGGAACTTGTAGGCCATGTAAGACAGTGGTAGGATGGGGATCATGCAGTTGTCGCCGTTGGTTTCAATGAAGTCGTGGCGAGTGATGGCGGTCGGATCGATGTGGTGCTCCCTGAAAGGACGGATGAATGCCTGCAGAGAAGAGAAAGAAAGAGCATTTATGGCTGTAAAGATTCACTAAATACTTCTGCCCTCTCTAAATCAGTATCTTTGTGTTGTAGATTTAAAATGACAGGCGGGATCCTCAATAAGCAACCACAAGAATCATTTTGAGGAATAGCAATTTAAATGCAGGGGCGGCTGTGGCTCAGTGGGTAGAGTCGGTCTTCTCTCAACCGGAAGGTCGGGGATTTGATCCCCAGCTCCTGCAGCAACATGTCCGATGAGTCCTTGGGCAAGACACTTAACCTCAAGCAGCGGTGTATGAATGTGATTAGTTCTTTAAATGGCAAACACTACCATCAGTGTGTGAATGTGTAGGTGTGACCTGCGGTGTAAAAGAACTTTGAGAAGTCAGAAGGCTAGATAAGTGTGATACAAACTCAAGTCCATTTACCATTCAGTTGAAGTGGCCCTCTGAATGTAAGCTTATAGAAATGGACAGCACAGAATTGTTTGTCACATTCAGTTGATGTTTCTATAAGTTCATTATAAAAGGCACAAAAGATAGAGCTTCTTCATTTTGAAACAACTTATCAATAATAGTGATAATAGTTTTATTCCATTTAAGAAAGGCTTGATATTATATATTTATATTGGATGTTTTTGGAGGAAATCAAATATTCAACTAAAACCAGACTGTCAAAGATACAGAAATGAAGCCCAAACCATTTAAAGAAACAGATAACCACACATTCTCCTCGGGGTCTGGAAACTCAGTCAAACAGACACACATCCATCTTTTCTCTGATTGGAACTGATGTGATTAACAAGTACAGCTAAAAGTGCAGCGGTAAATACTGTATTACAGATTACATTCACTTTCAATCTGAACACAAACCTGATGCTGTGGAAAGCATTGTTTACAGTTCTTACACCAATGCAGATCAAATGCTCACACACACACATCACGACTCAGCGGTGCCGAGCTTCATGTGCAACCCCAAAGCTCATATCCAGCATCCTAATAAACCACAGAACAGCAGTTGGCTTGCGCAAACACACTCATAAGCATAAATGACCCATGGACGCCCTGCAAAAACTGAAAAATGTTCAAACACACACACACATACACACACAAACCCCACCTGCACTGTGCAGAGGCAGACACCTGTCTGTGAGAGCACGGGGGTCTCAAATGAAAGTCTGAATATGAATCTCAAAAGCACAAAAGAGGACAAAAAGAAACACACACACACACACATGCACATAAAGGATAAAGGTAATTTATTGCCCTCTGTGGAAAAGGCAGAAAAGTAAGGTTTGCATCTTTGCATCTGTGTGTGTGTGTGTGGAAGCATCAGCATGAAAACTCATTATTGTAGTGTTAGCAGCTCCAACAAATGGCACACGCCTGTCGGTGAACATTGTTGCTAGGTGCCACAGCAAACAGAGAAATTATCTGTCGATATCTGCACAATTATGTACCCATCTCTGTTATCGTCTAGCCCCTTCCCCATCTCTCCCCTCACATCACCCCCCTCCTCTCGCAGCAGCCCTCAAGCCAGATGAAAGCCCCGGCTAAGCTGCGGAGGTCGTGCCGAGCGGGGCAGCATCGGGGCTCCCAGTTAACGGTGGGCCACCGGTGGCTGCGTGTCCTCTAATCCCACACTGTTAAACGGCCCACCTCGCACGAAGTCCATTAATCACCAGCCCACATCGCCCATTACCCCGGCAACCAGTGCTGTCCCACAGGCTGGAAAGACACACCCCTTCCACCCCCCTTATTTTTTTGTCCTTCTAACCTTTTTCTGTATTTTCGTCTCACTTTTTGGTTTCTCTTGTTCTCTCTTTTTCTTTTGGCCATCATGTCTGACTATGCTTACTTCTTCCCACCCCCCTCCCTTTTTTTACCTTCTGTCCTTGAAGTAGAAACTGACTGAAGTCATTCAATTACCCCAACTTCTCCCTCTGATCAGCCTCACAATTGAGTGTTAAAGATTTAGTTAATGTGAGAAACATACTGAGGAAAAAACTGAGAAGCAGTGATGTTGGTAAAATATGAGAAAGAAACAATCAGAGACAAAAGATCTACTAAAACACCTCTCAAATGAAAGCATATCTGGCAAATTTCATTGTGAATGGAGCATCATTGGGAACTAATGAGCGTGACTCTGTCCTCAAAGTGGTGTCATTAGGGGACTGCTAAATCCTTGTTGAGTCAATTAAAGCTCAACGACATGATGACGACAAAAAGCAGCACGGCCCAAAGCTCCGCTGAGGAATACTTTTCAACACTTCTGGGAACATGTAGTGCACTCTAAAAATAGTGTAGCAGTTTTTGTACTTCGGAGTGAAAAGACTTTTATGGACACAAATTCAAAGCCAATTATAGATGTGTCATTTCTAATAAAGAGCATTGCAGTGAGCAATATGTCAGAGATGTACTTTCAGGTAGAAAATCTTAATGAGATAAAGGGATGTGTGGGGGGGATGAAACGTGTGCTCTGAGTGTGCTCAATAGTGATAAAACAGATAGACATTAAACCTACAACAGAGAGCCGAGTGCAAAGAAAGACAGATCTATCCCTCAGTTTGAGAGGTATCATATCAGTTGGAGGTGAAACGATACGTTTATTAATTCACAAAAACAATATTGAGAGATGATTCAACCTTGTTTTTTTTTTTTTAAAAAGGCTTAACGTTCTGTTGTTTCAGCTTTTCACAAGACAGGATTATGAGCTCAATTAAGAAAATTAAAAAGAGCATTTTTGAATTTTCTTTTTTAATATCATAGATAAGTGGTTCCCAAAGTGGGGGTCGGGACCCCCTGGGGGGTTGTGAGATCTGAGACAGGGGGTCGCGAGATGCCTTCCGTAACCAAATAAAAAAGTTGAATGATTTGGATTTGCGCATTTGACCCATAATTGTGAAAATACATCTAAAAAAAGAAGTTGAATTTTTAAATACACCTCTAGTCATTCAGTAAGATTTTATGCTGAAATGAAAGTGATCTGTGTTTTAAATGTTTGTCCACAAAGTCCTACAATGACATCATGTGTGTTCTGCTTCTAGAGTTTCTTAGGTCGCTTTCACGTATAAAGTTCGGTGGACTCGGTGCGATTCAGGGGTGAAGCATTTTTCATTTGGTCCAGAATGCGTTCTCACCTACCGAAACGAACCCAGACCCCCGTTTTCAAGAGGCCCAGGGTTTGTTTGAGCGTTCACACCACCCCAACCAAAACGGACTATCTGACACAGCACACCAGAGTCAATTCAAACGGACCAAACCTTTAGTGATTGCACCCTTAAAATAAATGACGAGAATAGGGACAGTGGGGGTTCCAGTTGCTAACACAGTAATTTAGGGGGTCCTGAGTGGAAATGTTTGGTAACCCCTGTCAAAGATTTATATTGAAATTGTTATGGCTTCAAACAAAATCAATTAGGTAAGCCATTGCTGAGCGTGTTTAACACGCTATCAAATAAAAACAAAAGGCAGCCGCGGATCCAAAGTCAACTTATAAACTACATTTATTAATAGAAACTTTTCAGCAAAAACTAAAGCTTCACAAAATAAAATAAACAAATCAGAACGCTATATCATGTATATCCTACCCTTTGCAGTCAAAAAACTGTTCCGCTTCCCCACTCTCACCCTCACCCCAGGTGTCCTTAATCAACTTAAATTACACTGCCAATACGCTGTGGCTCCGCCCCCAAACAGGAAGAAATTAGGCACAAATACCCCCAAATCAATTAACAAAAACTAAAACCAAAATATGCCAGAATAAACAATAATATAAACAAATAATTCTAAATTCATTAATGTTTGGCTCTTTTCTATTTTTAACCATAAATAATTCATATGGTCATTTGGCCCCAACAGAAATCAACAATTCCATTACAGCCCAGATATAAGTTTGTTCATTACCTCAGGTCTGTCATCGACTCTCTCTGAGCACACTTTAAGGGCTCTTCTGTTGCCGATGATCGGGACAGAGAATTGTTTTTCCTGTCTCGCAGCTGTAACATCTCTGTGGTCCTTCACTGCTGGAGACGTTATTTATGACAGTGTGACAACAGACTCAGCCTCTTTAAAAAGGGTTATTAACAAACAACAGCAGAGAGCATGGGACACAGACACACACCAAAAGTCCACAAATGACAACAAAAAACAAGAAAACAACAGAACAAACAAATACAAAAACTACACTTCCTTCAAATGTTTCCTCCATAACTCTCCTTAGGTGTTCTCCATCGTGCCCGTCTTTGATATTCAAACTAACTCTAACTGTGAGCACAGTCCGCCTTTATTCTCGGCCTCAAAACTCACACAGCCTTAAAAACCCTACTGAGGCGTGTGCCATGGGTTGTAGTGTGTTTTTTTTGTCTCCACACACACACATATACAAATGTTCCAGCCACTCATTGTCATCCCTCTGTTCTCTGCAAAGGTCCATTCTTCTTTTCCAGTTGAAGTCTTTATTAGAGGTCTCCTACAGTGTTCCACGCACCATGCAAATCTGTGGCTGCCGCCGTGCCTTTGGTGCCTTTAACTACTGTGAAGCCCGTAACTGTCGCATCATAAATAAACATCACACCACAAAGAGAGACAAAGAGCAAAAAATAAAGCATTGTTCAGAGTGCTGAAGGTATAATACATGTTAGTCTCTGAAGAACACGATGTAGAAACTAAATGATTCTCTTTGACTAAGTATATCAGGTTCAACATACACCAAATAAAACAATCATCTTTAACTTCAAATCTCTCATCACACTGAACAGACATCAAAGTGGTACACACATGTGTATGTGTCACTTAATTACATTGAAGGGATTTTGTCAAAGTTGTCATGACGACATCTAAACAAACAGTCTCCTGTGTAAAAGTATTTAACTATGACTATTTAGTTAAACGTTTAACTCATGTTAAGAAGCTATGTAAAGAAATGCATAACTGAAAAGATATTATTTACAGTGTCACTTTGTATTTTAATACATCTGCAGCTAATATTATCTCACCTTAAAGTTACCTTTAAGTTTGATGTCCTTTTAAAATCCTCATTTCAATCCAGAATGTTATTAATAACATTCAATCCAGAAAAGATATTAATTGGTGTAAAGTTAAATTAATACTTGCTTGTAATAGTTGTAAATATTTACCTTTACCTTTATTTTATTCCTATACATTCTAATTTTATTTGCACTCATGCACGCTCGTCTTCTTGTCTTTTACTGATCATCTATAAAGGATGATCTTATCTTCTCTAATACACAATCAGGCTCACAAGTATGATCTCATTTGGTTTAGTTCACTTTCAACAGTTCTTTCTGCTCGTTTTTTTATGCAAAGAATTTCATTTGATTTCATGAATTTGACTTGAAAAGGGAATTCTTCTACACCAGTATTAATCCTACTTTGATCACACGAGTTCAGAATAGTCATATGTGACACACACACACACACACACACACACACACACACACACACACACACACACACACACACACACACACACACACACACACACACACACACACACACACACACACACACACACACACACACACACACACACACACCTCATCAATCAAAACATTCACATAAACCAATCAGTAAGCTGCACCTGATCACACTGTTTTTAATTGGCTGAAATGAGGATGACCTTTCCTCTAATTGGGAGAGGGAAACGGGACAAATGAGTGTGTGCATTAATGAGTGGAACTTGTTTTAATGTCTGAATTAAATGTATGTACATCCATCTTTACAAACACTCTGTATGAGCCTGCGTGCTGACAGTTTGTGGAGGTCCATGCGGAGGCCATTCACAGAACGAGTCTGTGTGTGTGAGTGTGTGTGTGTGTGTGTGTGTGTGTGTGTGTGTGTGTGTGTGTGTGAGAGAGTGTGAGTGTGAGTGTGAGTGTGAGTGTGAGTGTGAGTGTGAGTGTGAGTGTGAGTGTGAGTGTGTGTGTGTGTGTGTGTGTGTGTGTGTCGAGGGAAATCCCTCTGTGAGACTGTGACATTTAGTTTCCAGGTCACAATGCAGTCCTGAGGCTCAGGGGACTAAGGTGCCGCCACCATGCTGCCATGGTAACAAGGCCTCAGGAGAGGGGGCGTTGATCTGGAGGGGGTGCTGGTATGATGCAGTGTCACAGGCCCTTTTTCAAACCAAACCCTACACCCTCCCCCTCCGTGACGAAGTGCACTCCGTTAGAAGTCACACTCTCAGCTGAATGAAGTCTCCTTCATCAAGGTGTAGGGTAGAAATACAGCGGCAGGCTTTGGGAAAAACTTCCCTCTCTCAGGTGGAAACGGGAACTGTATGTTACCATGGGTACTCAGCGGTATCTTACGGGAACGGCTTTTTTGTAGCTAATGCATTCTGTAAAAATATTTATGTAGCCTAGATTATTCTTCTTCTTTAGTTATATTAGTGTAGACTTATAACAAAACTATTAGATTGAGCCTACATTGTTTATTGTAATTTATCATTTAAGTTCATTTATTGTAACATTTAGAACAGGGTGTCCTAAATTAATGCAAAGACAAGGAGACTATTGTTGAACATCAGAGCAGCAAAAAGTGTATTTTTTGTTGTTGAATTGAGATTTCACAAAAACATCAAAAGTAGAAAAATAAAGAATAAATATGAACAGCGAAAAGTTGTCTGCAACATGATTTAATATTCTTTTGTTTTTGCAACAGTCCCTGTAAATATAAAACACTTTACAATAAATAAACATACATTTGATCCTCAGTACACATTTGAAGTTGTTAATGTCTGTATGAGGATATTAAATGTCTATCGTAGTTGGAGCAGTGTTTATAGACACTTGAACTCACAGATTGCTTCATCCATGACAACCGGACACAATAGGCGTTGCATTTGATCCGAAAGTCAGCATCGGTGCAGACTCGCTGGTGGAGGGTTTTATAACCCACTACCACTCCCCACTAGTTGGTTTGGGACGGATTTAATGTGGCGGACCCTCTGCGAGGACGCGCAAACGGGGGGGTAGTGGGTAAGGAGAGGATGTAGTGGCCGGTTTGAAAAAGGGCCACAGTGATGGTTAGTCTATTTTCACACATCTGTTTAAAGGCCTTCAGCAACACATACACAAGTGTGTAGAAAAAAGTGAGTCATACACCAAACTCATGTCATTATGGGTAATGTAGTAGTGAACTTTTAATGTGATGCAGAGAAGTCAGATTTCCTCGAACTCAAGGCACCAAGAAGAAACACATTGGAACTATATAAAGTCATTCAAGCATTTGTCGGCCTTATTTTTGAATTTATTTCTCTGAATCATTTCGCTCCTCATATATGATTTTTAAGGTTATCTTTTATTTATTATATTTTTCCATTTTGAATTCTCCTGCACCTCACTCTTCATTTGTTATTTATAACACATACAAACTACTGCTACTTGTAATTATTTCTAACAATTATAGATTCGATGGTTATTATTATAGTAATAATAAAAATGCATTCGATGTTTATGGCGCTCTAAGTACTCAAAGAGGCTTAAGAAAAAAAAGTGAAAACAACAAAGAAATAATGTAAAAGAAGGAGGATGACAAGAGAGTTTGTTAGTGGTTGTAGGCGATGTTGAAGAGGTGAGTTTTTTGGGGACTTCTTGAAGGTGGAGAGTGAGTGAGGCTTTTTTGGAGTGAGTTCCAGAGGGTGAGAGAAGAAATTGAGAAGGCCCCATCCCCCCAGGACCGATGGTTAGGACCAACCATCGGTCCTGGGGGGACAGGGCTGGGGGGGGGGGGGTTTGCATCAGCAGACCTGAGAGTGCGGGTGGGAGTGTGCCGGTGGAGGAGCTCAGACAGGTAGAGGGGGAGCCAGCTTATGTAGGGCTTTATAGGTGATGATGAGGAGTTTGAAGTGGATCTCTGGGGGATGGGGAGGACAGTGGAGGTCATGAAGGACGGGGGTGATGAGGTCACGGGTGTGTGAGAAGACTTGCAGCAGAGTTCTGGATTTATTGTAGTTTCTTTAGTGTTTTGGATGAAGAAACATAGAGGAGACTGTTGCAGTTGTCTAGTCTGGAGGTGATGAATGCGTTGGTGAGGGTCTCAGAATGTTATATAGTTTAATGATGAACTTCATATTTTTACAAACATAAAGCTGTATCAGCATAAGGGAACTGAAGGGAACTGACAATAAAGTATTTGGTGAAATATTCACATTGTAGTCCCAGGAAAATCTATTAAGAGTTGTTTCAAGACATTTAAAAACAGCTACATAACAAAAGAGAGAGAGGGTTTTACATCTCGCTCTATGCTGTCGAAAAAAGGCAAAACAGGGAGAAACAAAAATCAGCCTGAATGTTCCACTCACACACCAGCCGGTTCAGGGCTTTTATTCACATCCTAATTCAGGTGAGGCTGTGATTTCAGGGGAGCATGAGGGATACAAGGCTTTACTTTGTACTGATAAAGCCTGATTGATTGTGAAGTACTGTATGCTCTTTAATGCAGCGGTACTGTGTGAGTATAGACAATATATGTATGCAGGCTCACCTTGCCAATAACAGGGATGTCCACAGATCCCCAGGTATCCGCCCCCCAGTGGACCATCCCCGATGCAAAGTCTGCCGTCACGATCCCCAGGACTGGCACACCAACAGAGACACAGACAGACACACACACAAAGGAGGAATAACACGTGTTGTCATCAGATGTGCAAGCAAACACACCACCACTATATTACAAAGCTAATGTGGGACAGTGATTTGGAAGAGCAACACTGATACCTTAACGGGGACATAATATGAAGAATCCACTTTTAGTGTTTTTGAACATATATTTGGGTAACCCGAGTTTCTACTGAATCACAAAATGTGAAATAAACCCATCCAGTCCTTTGTTTATGGTCTACATAAGTCTTACAACACAGAGGACAAGGCACAAATGTTCTCTCCTTGTGATGTCACCGTGGGATTCTGGTAAATAAATACCCTCCCCTCCCCTGATATCTCCACCCCTGGACTCAACCCCCAGACTAGAACAAAATTTTTGTGCAGGTCAGCCATTTTTATTCTCGCTACAGAGGAGTGATGTCTACGGGGAAAACTCAGGGGGGGGGGGGGTCATTACATTTAAAGAGACACACACACCAAAACGGAGCGTTCTGAGAGAGCTGGATTATACAGGGTCACAAGCCTCCTCTGGTGCTTGATTCATGTTATATTTTGACCAAAGCACAGCACAGATGTTTCATTTAGACCACAGGGGACTGTTTGAAAGGTGGAGAAGGGGATAATATGTCCTCTTTAACAGACAGAAGCTTGATCATCGTTTTCATAATATATCTACGATCTGCTCACCGATTCCGAGGACGATCTTGTAGATGTGAACGGTGGAGAAGTGCAGGAGGAGAAAGGAGAAGTTGATGATGAAGAGAAAGAGGCACAGAATGACACACACCCACTCCTGGAGGCGCTTACCTGAAGAAGAAGAAGAAGAAGAAGGAGAGAAACAACAACAGAAATCATATATCAAAGCATCATCACAGAACAAATCGTCTTGTTGAGTAGTTTATTATCATTCACGATATGAAACTGAAGCTGAGGGTGAGAGCGATGAGAAGTTGAGAGATGTGATGTTTTGTATTAATGAGCTGAGTGAGGTCTGTGCGACCACTGAGAGAACAACTCACTCCTTACAAAAGGTCAAAGGACCATCGACTACAATGACTGTGTGTGTGTGCTTCCAGGTTGTTAATATGTAATCAGTCAGATGAAGACAAGTGTACTCCAGGCTGCAGGGTCACGACCTCTCATATGTGAAACACCAGCGCTGACGCAGCATCAGGCACCCGCATGGACACGCACATATAGGCCTTTTCAGGTGGGAGGCGGACCTCTGCGGGGACAAGGCCAAACTCATAGGTCAGCAGTAATAGAGAAAAAAGGATTTACTTAAAGTACGCATACTCTAAACTGGCAGATCAGCAACATTATGAATGAGATGAGAGGGTCAAACTGAAACTCTATCCACCACACAGCCCCAAAGATTAGAGAAGATGAATTATTGAAAACATACATTTTGATCTGCAGCTCGTCTTCTGCAGGCTTTTCTGTAACTTTCCAGATGTCTTACGTCTTTCAGGAGCTGAGACGTCTTTGGATTTGGCCCCTTTTTTTTTTTCATCTTTTCTTTGTTCTGACTGGTCTGACCTCTCTGCCCAAGCAGCTAATCTAACCCACGTACAGAAATAAACTATAAAAAGTACAAATATAAACTACCACCGCTCTCTTTTGTTCTTTGTCTCTTAACACCCCCTCCATCACCCTTTGTCTCATCCTCCTCCCTTTGCCAGTCTAATGTGCTATTTAAACTTTAATGTCTTCAGATCCTAATATATCACACAGCATTAGCAGTCTATAAGATATTCATGACAGCTTTTTTTAATAAAGCACACAGCCGTGTGAGTGTGTGCGCCTATAGACCTGTCTGACAATGAATATGCTATCAGCCTCAGTAAGGTATGGACTGAAGTTGTCACGGGAGATTTAAGATATGTGATTATGGATATTTTACGAATCATCAAATGTGACCCTTCACCTTCTAAAAATAGACGCTATCAAAGTTGTGAAGAGACAGATGGCTGATTCAAGAGGAGACAGAAGTGTGGCTTTTAGATGAGTTTGACTTTGAAACTGAAGGATGTTATGAAAATCTCAAATGTTTTCTTTCCAGGCTGTAGTTGGAGTAAGTATTTTTATTTAAGACTTTTTTTTTTAAAGGTTTATTTTTGGCCTGACAGGACAGTGGACAGTGGAAAGAGAAAGAAGACAGGGAAAGAGAGAGAGAGATAGAGATAGAGATAGAGACAGAGAGATAGAGACAGAGATAGAGATAGAGATAGAGATAGAGATAGAGAGAGGGAAATGACATGCTGGAAAGGATCCACAGGTCGGATTTGAAACCCAGGCTGCCCACTTGGAGGTCCACAGCCTCCATACATGGAGCGCGCACACCAGCCACCATGCCATCGGGGTGGCTGTGGCTCAGGGTTCGATCCCCAGCTCCTGCAGCCACACATCCGATGTGTCCTTGGGCAAGACACTTAAGCCTGAATTACTCCCCCTGCTTCGTTGGTGGCATATGAATGAGCATGAATGGGATTAGTTACTCCTGGTCTCACTTCATAGCAGCCTCTGCGATCAGTGTGAGATTGTGTAGGTGTGACCTGCGGTGTAGAAGAGCTTAGAGAAGTCAGAAGACTAGAAAAGTGCTGTATAAGTCCATTTACCATTAGCCATCGACACCCTGTTAAAGACCTTTTAAAGTTGTGTTTTTTCCCTAATCTGGTTACAGCAGATAGGTGGGGGGATAACTCACTTCCTGGATCATTTATTCAAATATCTGTTGATAAGACAATGTGGAAAAAAGGTTTCCTCACACTATTTATTCAGCCAAACTTGTTATTGAGATTATAATGAAAACAATTACATGTTTGTTTATTTTGACAGAAATTCACTGTCTTTATGGATGATTTAATGTATAACAATACCAACTCTATAGGAATAGCTACACTGCATCACAAGTAAGACATGCTGAACATTTTTAAAATCTGTTATTTATATGCTTTCAAGAGAAAAGGTTTACAAAGCCTCCAATCAGAAGAGGTTCAGACACCTTATAGACAAAGACAAATCCTACCAGCAAATGAAAATGTGATCAATATGAAAATTTACAATTTTATCATGAACTCAAAAGGTTTATTTGTTCCCTGTTTGATTTCATTCTCATCCTGAAAATGACATGAGAGTTAGACTTTTTGATATTAATTGACAGCTTCTGTAATCTTAAACTAGAATGGTTGTTGCAGTGTGACTGTAGCACTCTGCCCTTGCTGGATGCTAACAGTAAATACATCAGCAAAAGAAAAAGCCATAAGGCAGCAGTGATGGAAAATGAGTTTGCATTAGCTGTGCAAAAAAGAGCACTTAACTTTAGCACAACCCGTCATGAAACACATTTAAGATTCATTCATAAAAATGAACTAAAAATAAAAAGAGGATTGGAATAGAGGGATGACTGTAATGAAGTAAACATTTTCATACATGTTTCCTGCTCCCTCCTTGGCTGCATTGTGTTCTATAACAGGTGGTCCTGCTGAACACGTTCTACTCCTTATTACCTTATGCTTGACAACAACTGAAAAACAAAGATATGTCTCATATGCTCAACCTGTAGACATACAAGAAGAAAGGCTTGACGGAGCTCAGCAGCGAGCCTCTGTGTGAACAGTCAGCACTGGTCTAAAGGCAGCAGGTGACAGCACGGTGTAGGTGCATCGAGGTATTTACGGCGCAGACTGAGTTAACACACTCTGCTCTGCACATGTAGCACAGGTCTGGTGAAGTAATGTAGTGTGTTTATGTAATGTGGCTCAGGTAATCAGACCACAGTGAGGTTAAATAGAGCACAGTTAGCTCTGTTGTCTTCAAGCTTCATGTGACACCATTTTCTCCTCTCTGCTCCGAGGTGTACGTACACACACACACACACACACACACACACACACACACACACACACACACACACACACACACACACACACACACACACACACACACACACACACACACACACACACACACACACACACACACACACACACACACACACACACACACACACACACACACACACACACACACACACACATCACATAGAATGATGATCCAACTGATGGATTTCCTAACACATTCTCACATCGATTACACACACAGACACTCATCCTCTGACACATACACAAATTCAGACACTTCATCTCCGTCATGTACACACACACACAGACATATACACACATACACAGTGCAGGGCCGCAGAGCAGTGGGGCGGCTGTCAGGTGATGTGCGTCAGTCCTTGGATCCTCCAGCTCCCTGGTGATGGGAAGGAAACTAGGACAGGCCTCCGCAGAGCACACACACTCACACTCTCTCTCTATGTCTCTCACACACACATTCACACTCACACATAAGCCCTAGTCCCTCAGGCCATGGCATTGCTAGATATCACACACAGCAACAGAAAGACACACAAAAACAGCCTAAACAAGGATGTAAGTATAGACGGACATATGCTAACATGTAACAACACACACACACACACACACTGAACACAAAGCTCTTATTTTAAAAACTAACACACACACACACACACACACACACACGTATACAAAACTCTTATTTTAAAAACTAACAAACACACACACACACACACACGTGTACAAAGCTTCAGTTGGCGTATAAACAGCAAAATTCAGGACGTAAACAGAGACACACATAAACACAAACACGCCTGGACACACACACCTTCATAGACTCTTTGGGCCAGAGCAGCGCACTCATTAATATCCTTCTGACAACAACTGGCTCCCTGGCAACCCCTCCGCCATCGCTCACCCAGCAGCACCCCCCGCCTGCGAGCGTGCACACGGGTGCGTGCAGGGATTTAACCTGGGCGGAGCCGGGGGAGGAGAACGAGGGGTGCTAATAGGCTGAAATTAATCAACGCCGGCTGATTCGCTGTCTGGGGAATGAGTGGCGGCCAGCAAGCAGGCAGGCAGGCAGGCAACACATCCTGAATACTAATGGACTAATGAAGAGACGCTACGCAGAGAAGACCCCTTTACCTCTCACTGCAGCTTTTCAGGAACAAGACGACGAGGTGAGGCGGGCGAGGTGTGATCAAATATGTACAGTGTGTCGACTAACGAGCAAACAAAAGATTAAAACTCAGAGTCATGTGACAGAATGCGAGCAAACACACAAAAATGAGCACAATCGTCATGGGAGCAGATTCTGAGTCACATGAATCAACCTCAGTAAAAGTTCTTATCATAAATACTGTTTTGAAGAAGTCAATATATCTATTACAAAATCTGCAGTGCAGTTATAAGACACACAGGGAGAGTTTCTACAAATTAAATATACATATACACAACCAAATGCACCAATGCTTAGCAGCTTGCTCCTTATTCAGGTGTTGTGACACACTGAGACTGAGACTGAGAGTCTCTGTGTGTCCCTTAACCCTGAAGAAGATGTGTTGTTGTATGTTTTTATTCCTTTGACTTAAAGGCATTTTTTAAGTTTTAAACCATCCTGAGTGCCTGGACCTGGATCTTTTATAAAAAGAAATAAAAGAAGTGGAACATTGTCCAAAAAGTAACCCTGCTCTCTGCCAGCTGTTGTTTTATTACAAGTTTGCCCTTTCTTTTTGGGTCGTCTATGCCTTTCTTTTTGGATAGAGTCAGAAATCAGTGAGAGAGAGAGAGGGGAATGACATGCAGGGACAGGGGGCACAGGTGGGATTTGAACCTGGGCTGCCCGCTTACAGAACCATTGCCTCCGTCCATGGGGTGCACTCATTAACCACTAGGCTAAATGGCGACCCCACAACTTTTATTTATCTCTATGAACAGAAATCT